ACAACTCTCTTCAGGATGATGGTGAGATAAATTTCAATGTAGAAATCATTTCCAGTCTAATCAACATACATGTATGATGTCACCCACCATGAGATTTGAGCTCAGGTAATAGTGTAATGCTGTTAACTATGACTGTGAGAAGAAAGAGGAAAGATTTTTTGGGAAAGCACAGATCTGTAAGGCTAGAGATAGTTAAGGGACAAGAAACTTGAAATGTGAGGAGGAAGTAAGATTGAAAGAGAAAAAGTATCGCTATGCATCATACATACTCACTTAGGGTAAAACTCTAGTCATTATCAGAGCTTGCCAAGTTTCTTACCCCCCAAACCCAACTTACTATACAATTAGGCTCCATAAACATATTTAAACAAACAAAAATCATCCATGAACTAAGGCAATTATGTTCACAAATACAAATGAAAGAGATGTTCACTCCACCTACAGTAGCAATCTGTGTATTTCCCCCATCTTCTGTTTTCATTCTGAACAGATTTTGAATGTGTTTTATGACAGTTTTTTAGCCTCATTTTTATCCTCTGGGCATGTCCAAAGATACGTATATTTGATTCTTGGTTAACTGAATCATATTTGCTCTCTAAAGATTTCTGACAATGCCATTCGTGGATCTTTCAGTAGTCACTGCCTAAAATGAGATATTCCATCCAGACTAGCCTTTTAGAGACAAAACAACAGTTAGTGTTGAGTGACTACACACATGGTGGCTTGTAATCCTAGCATCTGGGAGGTTAAAGCAGGAGGATCATCATGAGTTCAAGGCCAGTCTGGGGCTATGTGGTGAGTTCAAAACAACTTAGCGTGAAGTGCTACTCCAAATGGTTTCCCTTCACTGGAGTGTGGGCTTCACTACCCATGGGTCCAGGTGTCATATTTACTCTTGAGAAAGACTTTCATCTATAGAATATAATCAGATCTGCTTTTGAAAAGCCATATTTCCCCCAAATTCAAAACTTTAACAAACATATAGGTACTGAGATCCAAGAAACCTTAAACTTTCATGATAAGTCAAAGTCTTAGACACTTTTCCCATGAATTCTGTGTCTTAAGCTCTTGGGACTGTACTGAGTGCTGTTTGGCTCCTGACTTCTGAGCTACCTAAAGAAATTTCTAGCAGTTTACTAGAAGTAAAATTTACTTGTACTTTACCGAAGAAATTTCATTTGGAAGACACTCAGCAAACAGAATAATACAATCCAGTGAGGCATATACTACTCAAGCATGAAAGAAATTAGAAGTGCATCTCCTTCTGTGTCTCTCTTCCCTCCATCTCTGTGCCTGTGTATATATGATAGGTGTGTGTGTGTGTGTGTGTGCATGTACGCATGTGTCTTTTGAGTGTATCACTTGTGCCATCTAGTCCTTACTCAACTTTAAAATTAGGGTGAACTCTGTTGTTTCTTTCTTTCTTTTTTGTTTTTGTCTTTTTCATTTTTATTGGTACCGGGGATTGAACTCACGACCGCCTGCTTGCAAGGCAGGTGCTTATGCCGCTAAGCTAAACCCCCAGCCCCAAACTCTGTTGTTTCTTATTTCTCTATCATTCTCCATGAGTGGCTACTAAAATTGACAGATTATTAAGACACATATCCAGAAACGTTGACTCACAAAAGACCAAGTAGGAAATATAGTCCTACAGCCTACAAAAGTGAATTTGGTACACTCACTATTTAAGTGTATACAAGTACGTGTGTTAAATGCAACCAGATATTTACAAATATTAGTTGAAGTACAAGGTATAGGTTAGGTTCTCCTATCAGAATTAATTCTGACAAAACTTTGATGGAAATGAAAGGAAGAAAGTCATATATAAGATGAAAAAAGTAAATTATGAACTAGGGAAAAGTTCTGTCTTATCCCACACTATTTAATAAAGAAATCTGGTATATATATATATATATCTTACTGATCAGTATAAATGGAAGAAAAGAGCTTTGAATCACACATTTACTCTCCAGAAATGAGTGGCTTTTCTCGAAAAATATTTCACATGTTCTAAATGCACACATAAACTAACATGCAAGTAGAATCCAAGCCCCTTATGTCACAGATATCATTTAGAGTTTATGCACAGGATAATTGCAATTATTGTCCACTGAATGTTTTCAGTTCCAGCATTTGAACTTTATGTGAAAACTATTGTAAAATATGTTTTACAAAGCACAAAGTACTTTCTGTTGTTTTTATTTTGCTTTCTTTTAAAAATTATTTTTAATTGTATAAATGTACAGATACAGTATAATAATTTAATATATGGCCAGAATACATAGATGTTAAAACAAGGTAGTTGGTATTTTGATACCTTAATCATGCCAAATAACATTAGTGATAATTCACATTGGTATGTGTATCTCAAAAAACACAAATGGAATTCTTTATATCTGTCAGGAAGAAAACCTGCCACTCCTCTGTATCTTCAGCATCACCATGTAGTTTCTATGATTATCCTGGGAATTAAGGAGCCAAAAAGAATTTTCAAACCATGAGAAACTCCCTTTCCTCACTTTCTCCTATACTTCTATGAAATAATCAGTGAGAGCAGATTTAGCTACTTCGGCCTCACACTGGATTTTAACTACTGTCACAAAGAGAAAGGTGCTCTCCTTAGTCATCCCGTCCCTCTGGAATATCTCCCTTTTTCGTCTCTGCTGCATATGGTAAAATACCAGGTGTTGAATCAGAAATTTTGTGGAGTTACAGAAATTTCCTGTTTTAATTTTAATTGAATTGGAAAGAACTTGAAGTTTGAACATGGGGATGAGTCACAGTGGTAAACCTGTACCTCAAGACAGAAATATATTTTCAGGATTTAACATTAAAAAACAGCACTGAAAAGTTCAACTGCATGTGTGTCTGTCCATAAAATACAGGAAGAATAGCAAGTATAATGTTGGCTCATTTATGGTAAATTGACACTGTATATTAAACTCATATTTGGAGCTTTCCTAAGGGTAATACAAAACAAATGGACAACAGTAAAAACAACTTCTTTCCTTTCCTTTTATTTTGGTTTGCAATGCTCTCCTTAAATTACAAATTCTAATGTTTTAGTTGTATTAACATTGCTCATTCTCTTCAATATCTTTTCACTCTCTTTTTCTTGCTTTCTGTATTATATCTCATAGGAAATTCCTCTCCATAATATCTTCTTTTTTATTTTAAAGAGGGTAAAATTCTTAGGAGGTTATTTTTTCAATTCTTTTCTCTAGTTCATTCTCAGGACTACATTGAATACGTACTCTGCCTCAGTACTTTGGGACAAGTGGCAGCAGTGAATCTCCGAGGACTGGCAGTGAGGCAGCTCCAGGGCTTGGTCAGGTAATGGCAGCTCATAATGTGAATTTAGGAGGTATCTCCTGTGGTCATCAAGAATAAATATGCTAGAAATGCTAGTCCTAAAAAAAAAACTAAAAGGATTTTTTATTGATAGATATTATTGTAAGTAGTACATAAATCTGTGACTACAGGGGTTTGGCACAATTCCTTACTTTAAAATTCAATTATATATTTTATGACTTGTATGGAATAATTTTTCTTGCTTTGTCTTTCATTGCATAGTAACCATAGTAATAGCATAATGGCACATAAGTACTGAAATACCTTGAAATTTAGAAAAATACAGGGTACTAAGTCTGTATGTGTAGTATCTATATCTCAAACAATATTTGGAATCATGTCTGTCTTAATCACTTTACTTTCTTCATTGTCCTATCACAATGCTTGGATCATATTACAGGATTGAGAAATGGTTCCTGACTGATGGAATGGTACCTTTTAACCATTTTCTCCTGCTTGCTGTAACTCTCACTGTATTCCTCTGTGATATTATTTTCTATTCCAAACATCTTTCATTTCATAAGGCTGAGTTCTACTTTGTCATTTTTATAAAAGATGTGTGGATATAAATCAGGGTAAATATGTCCAAATGTAACTAAAACATAATATTGCCTTGATGAAAAAAGTGCCAGGAGATCACAGAGGAAAGAATAATTATTATTCTTTGAAACTAGCACCAAGAATTATTTTTCTTTGAACATTCAAGGAATCTACCATTTCATTTGGGCCTGAAATGAAAGAGCAAAATTTATGAAAAGAATTCTGCTGGCAATTTGAACACATCTATTTCCCTTTTTTAACTTGGTAAACTTATTTTTTAGAATGAATGAAATATATTACTTTCCCTCCATTACAGAAGTAAAAAAATGCAGGTGACAGTTGCAGATAAGGGTTATTAGCTTTAAAAAAAAAAAAACATGAGAATGCGAATGAAAGAAAAAGCAGACAGAAGTGCTTAATGTCTGAACAGCAAGGTCACAATAGAAGTAGCACTGTTAGATGAATTATAAGTTACAATTTCACTGATAATTAGAAATGATCACATAGAACTGTTTTTAAAATAAACTTAATAATTAACAGGCTAAGGCAAATTCATAAATTTACTGAAAGCAACAATCATATCCAAAGTTGGCTTTCTCAGGTTTTAATGTGTAACTGCAAGAATGGATGTACAAACTGCTTTGGAACATAATTATATTAAGAAGAATCAAAATGAAACATAATACTAGCAAATTGTAGGACATGATATTGACTACTAAGAATACTATATCATGATAGAGTATTGATTAAACATGGCAATATGACATGATTTAGGAAATGGTGCAACATCATTTTTGATCATTTAAAATCTAAATGTGAGCTTATCTCTATTAGGTGATAACAGGTTTACAATAAAATCCAAGACTAAAATTTCAACCCTAGCTACCCAGGTATCTCAGGGGCTTGAAACAAACAAACCCAAATAATCCAAAAGAAATCTACGTCTTCTTCACTTTACCTGTCAGCAACCTATGGATAGCTTGTCCCCTCCTCCTAGCCCTGCCACTACCTAACCCTGTTTCAACACAGCGCAGGCTCCCCCAGACAGGAAGTGACGTGGGAGGAAGTGACGCATGCATCCAGGAAGTGATGCAGCCGGCAGCAGGGAAGTGATATAGCCAAGATGTCTGTGGCTAACGGTGACAACTCCCTCTACCCCATTGCCATGCTCTTAGATGAACTGCGCAACGAGGATGTTCAACTACGCCTGAACAGCATCAAGAAACTATCCATTATCGCCTTGGCCCTCGGGGCGGAAAGGACCCGAAGCGAGCTCCTGCCTTTCCTAACAGACACCATTTACGATGAGGACGAGGTCCTCGTGGCCTTGGCGGAACAGCTGGGGACCTTCACCACGCTGGTGGGAGGTCCGGAGTATGTACACTGCCTGCTGCCACCCCTGGAGTCCTTAGCCACAGTGGAGGAGACGGTGGTGCGCGACAAGGCGGTGGAAGCCTTGCGAGTCATCTCCAAGGACCACTCGCCCTCAGACCTAGAGACCCATTTCGTGCCGTTGCTGAAACGGTTGGCAGGTGGCGACTGGTTCACTTCCCGCACCTCTGCCTGCGGCCTCTTCTCCGTGTGCTACCCTCGTGTGTCCACTGCGGTGAAGGCAGAGCTGCGACAGTACTTCCGGAGCCTGTGTTCAGATGACACTCCAATGGTGCGGCGGGCTGCGGCCTCCAAACTGGGGGAGTTTGCCCAGGTGCTGGAGCTGAATGACGTCAAGCAGGAGACCATCCCCATGTTCTGCAGCCTGGCCTCTGACGAGCAGGACTCTGTAAGGCTCCTGGCAGTGAAGGCTTGTGTGCATATCGCCCAGCTCCTGCCGAAGCAAGAGGTGGAGGCCTTGGTGATGCCTACCCTGAGCCAGGCTGCCGAGGACAAGTCCTGGCGCGTCCGCTACATGGTGGCTGAGAAATTTACAGAGCTCCAAAAAGCAGTTGGACCTGATATCACCAAGACAGACCTGGTTCCTATCTTCCAGAACCTGATGAATGACTGTGAGGCTGAAGTGAGGGCCGCAGCCTCCCAAAACGTCAAAGAGTTTTGCGAAAATCTCTCAGCTGACTGTAGGGAGAATGTGATCATGACCCACATCCTGCCCTGTGTGAAAGAACTGGCATCAGACACTAACCACCTTGTGAAGTCAGCTCTGGCCTCAGTCATTATGGGCTTGTCCCCTGTCTTGGGCAAAGACAACACCATTGAGCACCTGTTGCCCCTCTTTCTGACTCAACTGAAGGACGAGTGCCCTGAGGTGCGACTCAACATCATCTCCAACTTGGACTGTGTAAACCAGGTGATTGGCGTGCGACAGCTGTCTCAGTCCCTGCTGCCAGCCATTGTGGAACTGGCTGAAGATGCCAAGTGGCGAGTGCGGCTGGCCATTATTGAGTACATCCCCCTCCTAGCTGGACAGCTAGGAGTGGAATTCTTCGATGAGAAACTCAATTCGTTGTGCATGGCCTGTCTCATGGATCATGTCTATGCCATTCGTGAGGCAGCCACCTGCAACCTGAAGAAGTTGGTGGAGAAGTTTGGGAAGGAGTGGGCCCGTGCTGCCATCATCCCAAAGGTCTTGGCCATGTCTGGTGACCCCAACTACCTATACCGCATGACTACACTCTTCTGCATCAATGTCCTGTCTGAAGTCTGTGGGCAAGATATTACCACCAAACAAATGCTGCCCACAGTGCTGCAAATGGCTGGGGATCCGGTTGCCAACATCCGCTTCAATGTGGCTAAGTCCCTACAGAAGATAGGACCCATTCTGGATACCAGTACCCTCCAGACCAAAGTCAAGCCCATCCTGGAGAAGCTGACCCAGGACCAGGATGTGGATGTTAAGTATTTTTCCCAGGAGGCTCTTACTGTTCTCTCTTCTACCTGATGTGGAAGACGAACATTGCCAGCCTCCAGTGTCTACCTTCAAACTCCGCCAAATACCTTCCTCAAGAAGACAGTGGGGGCCATAGACGGCCACTGCTTTTCCATGGTCTGACCTAGGCCCCTCTCCCCAGCACAGTTACTTTTATCGTCAGCCTGAGATGATTTCTCATTGTCCACTAGGGAAGCACAAGATGGGACACCAAAGCAGCCCTGGGAGGAGGAGATGTTAGTGGGACGAGATGTTAGTAAGTGTCCCAGGTCACTGGCTCCTGATACTGTGACCTAGGACATACTTCCCACTCTCCTAATCTCCTAATCCACTTCTCTTCCTCTATGTTGCCTCATAGTTATTTTCTCTTTCTTTTTTTCTTTTTCCTTTTTTCTTCTTTTTTTCTTTCTTTCTTTCTTTCTTTCTTTCTTTCTTTCTTTCTTTCTTGTTAACTGTTATTCAATTTTCCTTCATTTCAAAGAGAAATAAAGTTCTAGAAATTAAGAAAACAATTGTATCTGCTCCATATGCTTCTTTTACAAAAACTCAGTTCCTATTTGGAACATGCCATTCTGTTATCTGAGGGGAAAAATAAGAACGGATGGCAATGCAGTGCTTCTTAAAACTGCTCACACATAGTACATGCTGTACCTTCTCAGATGCCATTTGATGAGTACTTCATAAATCCATGGCTGTGACTAGCAGAGGGAAATATACTCCTACGACAGAAAGCACTGATACTGGAGGGCATTGAACCAAGTTGTATCCTCTAACAAGAAATAAGGAATATACCTACAGATGATAATACAGTCTGCTACACTATTCCTGAAACAAAACAGAGCCAACAAAACACCAAAATATTTTTCTACATATTACATGACAACACTATTAGTTTTTCACACAAAAATTTTATCACATTTAAAATATGAAACACTTGAACTTAATGAAATTAAAATGAGGTTTGTGCAGCTGTCATAATTATTTTAAATTGTGATTGTAGGCCAGAATCAAAATGTATGAAACTGAGTGAAAGTAATTGCTATTTGGTAAGTCATTTCTCTCTGCCTTTTCCTACATTTATTATTTTTTCATAAGGTCCTATAGATATACATTTTTATGATTGCATATTTTGTGGGCTTCTGTTTATTATAAATTGAAATATATTTCTATTTTGGTCAAAGTAGAAGGTATGTTAAACTCTTACTAAGCTATTTTTTTTTCAGTTAATTCACATTGAGTTTGTAATTCCTTCAATGATAGGTCCTTTGATGATCATTGTTTTTCACTATTTTTGCTAGTGAGTACAAATAGTACCCATAAACAATAAAGTCCAGTAGGGAAATTTTTAGAGCATTTTCCTCTTACGCATTTTCCATATAAGCTTTCAGTCTGCAGCTTGAGCACTTCAGAATTCAGGTTATGAAAGACTGAAGGCAAGTCTTTGAATTTTAGACATCAGGGTCAATTTTTTAATGAAACACTGTAGTCCTGTTTCAGCGTTCATTTAATTTTCTCTTTCTGATACAGTTAAAAATAACAGCTTTAAATCTCTAGTACACTTTGAGAATAGAGGAAAACAGGGAATAAACTTATTAGTTATGTTTAAAAAATTAGATTTTAGTGGGGAGAATGTTTTAGTTTTTGCTTAAGCATTACTGTCAATTGAGAATCAACACTAAGGAATTATTTTATGATGCAAATAGCTTGGGAAAGCATTGTTATGCAGCAGAGCATTTGGATACATTTAAGTGGAAGCAAGAACTATTTGTAGAGTTCCAGATCAGACAGTAATATTCTACAAATTTTGAAATTTAGTAGCCTAAAATAATAAATAAAGTAAATCATAAAAGTTGAGTAGCATCAGTGAATTTGAACTAACTTGAGACTCAAAACAGGTGGTTAACTTCAAATTTACAGCAGTTGCTTGTGAGTTAGGCAGTATGATTACTGAGTGAACCTTTGTCCACATGTATTAATTGAGGTGAGAAGATATCAGGTAGTGTCTATTTTGAATTTCACTGTAGCCCAACGAGATGAAAGAAGTAACACGTGAGTGCATGTACACTTAAAATTTGCTGGAGTCATAGTAAGTGCCAGGCAGAATGCTGCTAAATTCCTTTGTAGGCCTCGCTTGATACGGTCTCATCAACCTCTTTGTGCAAGACTGAGATTTCTATATACTTTAAAAAATATGAAACTTGGTTTAAAGAAATGGAATAATTTTTCAAAATAAGTTCAGTAAATTTTCATGAAAATTCATTAGATAGAAAAATTGTTTTCTTGGTTGTAGTTGTGAGATTATTGCAGCAACATAAATTCTATTAAGTCAAATTATAGATTGTTAAATTTTGTGGGCTGATTTTTCATTTGTCTGTTTATTTTTATTATTTTTTAATTAGCTATTTTTTTCTTTAAATTATGGACAGAAAACAAAACAAAATAACCTTTGGAAAGAACATTGATGTTTCTGTCAACATCTGTCATTGACATGATATAGTGCTAAATGAATATACCGTAAAATGGCCATTTTCTAGAAAAAAAAAACATAATGGAAATTAAGCCTATGGGTACACAGAGCAGAGACAACAGCATCCTGATTTGTGAATAAAAAGGGACCACAGTATAATTTTTAATTTGGCACTGATCTTTCTGATGAAAAGCAGGGTAGGGGATAGGGTATAAGCTAGGTTGGAAGAATGGAAGAACAAATTGAACAAGTAAAGGTTCATTTTCAAAAAACCTTTCTCTAGTTTTTTTCTCAGTCCTCTGTCAAGATGTAAAAGCAATCTAGTACTTATCCAAGATTAAAAGAAAATCAATATTACCTGGAATCTTTTTGTTAAACCATGTTAGTTACTGGAAATAGCTCTTCATATTCCATTATTTTTTGGCTTGCATGCAGCTTAAAATTTCTTACATATGATTGTTAAAATGTGTCAAACCAGGGATACATGAAAATTACATTAAAATTTCCAATCGTCATTTCTTTTCAAACAAAAGCTCATTAGCCAAACAAAATAATAGTAGAACACTCACCACAGAAACTTAGAAAACATAAGGCAATCCTTTTTTGGGAATGAAAAAAGCTTCAAACGTGAACAGGTATACAATAAAAATTAGCATCTTTAAAAAATGGACTAGGAGGAAACTAATTATTAGTTTAACATGTGTTCAGGGAGTGAAAATGTCCTCGAAATAAATAGCAATCGCTAAAAAGTATTTAAAAAGGTTAAGAGGAAGAAAGAGAATGATATAGAAGGACTTGATATTTGATTATATGGTAATAGTTACAGGAAGGGAGACTGAGAACAAAATTATTATTAAAAAGTGGGAGAGTAAATTGGGGAGAGGGGTAAATGAAAAGAAGAGAATTGCTCATTCTTATGGAAAGGCCGGTGTTTCCATTAAAACTGCTGTAATGTGTCTTCCTTTATGGAAAATATTTTTTTGCTTGATATAGAAAAATTCTACATTGCCAATATTATTTTTTTGTATTGCAGATGTTCTTGCATCTTATTCAAATGTATTTTTACTTTCCTCCAACCTTCATTGTTTCTGACAAAAATTTCTTTTTTAGAGGGCCTGGCATGGTGGTGAATTTATATAATCCCAGTACTCTAGAAGACTGAGGTTTGTGGATCACAAACTTATTTGAGCCAAGCCTGGGTAATTTAGCAATTTAGCAAGACTTTGTTTCAAAATTAAAAAAAAAAAAATAAAAGAACTAGGGATGTAGCTCAGAGTAAATGGCCGAGGGCCTAAGGTTCAATTTCAATACCTCATACTTTGAGGGGAGAGAGAGAGAGAGGCAGAGGCAGGAGCCGGGGCAGGGCCAGGGGCAGAGATTTTTCTTTGGTTTTTGGTACGATGTCCATGATACTGGTACATTTAAGTGCAAAATTTTCTTTGACTCATTATTTTAAGAATTCACTAACCTTTTATTTCTGGTAGCCAAATGTGTGTTTTTTTTTTTTTTTTTTCATTTTAGAAAATGCTTAACATTATCTTTTATGAGTTTTATTGTTCTCTTCCTACATGAATTTCACTTGTGTAATGTATGTCTATTAATTTTGTTTGAGATTATTGTGTATTTATCTTCTATAATTAATTTTAGATACTTTCTCTTGTTTTCAAGTGTACTAATACTTATTTCCTTCATGATTAAGACAAACATTTATCTGTGGTGTTATATTTTTCAGGAATGTAGTGTTTCCTCTTGATTTTTCATGTTTTCCATTTTTCTAGTAAAAAACCTAAAATGTACTCATGTATCTTCATCCTTTTCTACAGAAAAATCCACATATTTATAAGTCAAATAACAGTAATACCTGAGCTGTTTCATGTTGTCGTAGTTAAATGTTTCCTTGCTTGACCTCTATGTATACCTTATTTTATTACTTGTGCTGTAGAGAAGAGTAGTAAGAAATAGGTGAAATGCTCCATTTCCTGAAATTTATGTTATTCCATTAGTCAGGTTTCTAGTATTGAATAAAGCTTCTTGAATCATGTGTAATTTGATGCACTGTTTCGTTTCTTTAGACAGGTTTAATTCATAGCTGCCCTCAAATTATTAGAACATAGGGTCAAAATCTTCCTCTCATAAATATTTGAAATCCCATAATCAAAGATATTCTGTTTGCACTTTAAAACACAAATGTAAGTGCTATACACAGGAAGAGCTATCAAAGTTGACTCCTATCCAATCTACTCCCCTATCCTGGCACTTACATACTATTTGTCTGCTTATGTCTCTGTTATTTGATCTATTTCCTTGTCCTCGGCTTGAAGGTTGTAGTTTTTGTGAATGTCCAAATGTATGCAAAGGTTGTCCTCTCCATTCTCATTATTTCTCACAGCCATGGCAAGTCATGCACACTTCTGTCAAAAACTGCACTTTATAACGTGATACAGAAAATATAGGGGAAAAGATACAGGTACATGACTACTATCATATACAGTGATAAATTAGGAAATACTGTGCAAATGAAAAACACACAAATGATAGTGACTTACGTATATTGAATGTTCTAAAGTTAAATGAAAGAAATAACTGAAATTTGAGACAGGTAACTGATAAAGGAAGACAAGCACTATGTAAATGAGCAAATAAATTATATAATACCTACAGATTGTTAGTCTAGAAGTAAACAAATAAAAATTAGTATTGTAGAAATAAACAGAAAGGAAAAATGGCTAAAATTAGCACTCACAGAGAGACACTGGGG